GCCGGCCGGGAAGATATGCGGAATAGATTTTTCCTATATAAAACCGATAATGTGGGTTTTTATCAAAATTGAAGGAGGGTTTTGATTGGTCAAAGCCTTTTGCGGTATACGGTATCATATTATGTATTCCGGCATCATAGATTTTTCCTATATAAAACGGATCCTCGTACAAATTGGTCTTCAGCCGTGTATTGATAATAATCAACAAACTTCAAATTCAGCCACTTAACAGCTGCATCCCTCCTCAATAACTTGTGTTTGGATAAAATTTTGCTTTCTGAGCTTTGGGATATCAAAGTGCACGTAACATTATATGCTCCAGATGGCCAGACTTAGTGTTGATTTCAAAGAGTACATGGTACCCAAAATAAAGGGTGTTTCGGATTTAGCACTTTCAGGAAGTAGGCAAGTCTAAAACTATGATACCTCAGTGTTGGAAGTGAAAGTACAGAGCAGGGTACCTCCCTTCAGTATTGATTTCTGAAAGTACCTATCACTACCCCCAAATTACAGGTACCTCCATGTTGGCCACGAGCTGAGCAGTTAAGTTTGAGCTCGAGCTTACGAGTTTTTGGTTCAAGTCAAATTCAAGTTCAAGGTTCTAGCTCGAACTGAATTCGAGCTTGAGCTCGAGCCTTGTACTTTCTAGGCGAGTCGAGCTCAAGCCTCATACTATTCGGCTCGAATCCACCCCTACCTCCAAGTAATTCTCGATTTTTATCTTTGTTTTGTGACTTTCAAGATTTTTTGGAGTCTCCCACTAAGCATGCCAAGGATCTCCACATTTGCATGTCAAGATTAGGAATCCTGGGTAAAGACGAGATGTAATTTTCTTTTATTTGTAATGTGCATCTTGAAATTCAATTTAATTTCGAGAAGATAATCTGAAAATTGGAGGGTTTATCAACTTATTCAATGACCTCACCTAACAGCTTAAGCTTTTAAGTTGAATGGTTCTTTGAAATGGTATCAAAGCCACTTTGACCAAGTGGTCTAATGTTCGACCCTCATTACCCCATTATAATTAATTAAGTTTCAGTACAAGGTATGGGTGGGCCTATGCTTGTTCACACTTCAAGCCCAATGGGCTTTTGGTGAGTTTTACAAGGATCATGAGGCATGCAAGAAAACACTAAACCTTATCTATGCTTTTTGCTTTTGATTTCTGGTCTCAAATACATAGGCCCCATTTGTTTGCCAGTATTTAGCAGGGTAAGTTGGTCAAATGGGCATTGACTACGATTCCCATATTGGTATGTCGTTATATTGGGTCTCACGGTAGGCTAAGATACTAGAAAGCATGGTTCTAAATATCGATACACCGATAGGGGCATATCGGACAGTATTAGTACTCTTTTTTTACTTTTTTTTTCAAAATTGGTTCAAGAGGGCCAGTATAAGACTGCTCCACCCCCTTAACCGATCAGAACCCCGATACATCCTCTGTAAGGGCATATCAAGTGCTCTCGATACGATACGGGCCGATACGTATCGATACTTTAAAATAACGCTCCCTCCCTCCCATCTCTCCCTTTACCTGCATAACTTTCATTGCACAAAAACACTGAAATCAAACGAATTCAGGCAAGTTTTACTTAACTCACATACTCAAGTAATTGAAAACGAACAGGGTCATAGAATCAGACAAGTAACTCAAACCATTCAACTCAACTAGAGGTAAAGGATCGAAACCGAGATGGTCCATTGCAAGAGTTGCCCAAGTTCTTCTAGATCCACTTCAAAGAAATTAAATTTCCAAAGTTGCCAACCTCACCTCATTTGGGACATAGACTAGTAGACTGGATTTCTTTCTTTCTTTTACGTGACAGGTTGTGTTACAGCAGCGGAGACTGAGATATAAATGGTGAAAGACCTTTTGACGATTGATTTGGACCGTGAGATTGAACAGGTAACCAATCCAGTGGTTCCCCATGCATTCTATCTAGATAGGGGAACATAATTCAACTTCAATCAATAGACCCACTCTAATGGAGATCAGCCATTTGAAACTTTTTTTCTCCTTTTCAACTGCTGACCCGCATGCAATTTATGGATTGACAATTAGGTACGCAGCAGTGGCCATTACCTAGTGTGGGGTGATCATGGACCGCACAAGGATGGATTCCGGGCCTAAAGCTTTATTTATAAATATTAAATATATATAATATATAATATATTTATGTATATATGAATTTAAGTGTTATTTTATATATAAAATATAATCATAAAATGACATATATACATATAATTTATGTATATGTAAAAAAGGGCTGGACCTAAGAACAAATCTTAGGCCCAAGCTTGAAATTTCTGGGCCGGCACTGGGCTGAAATTGATCACCCCTAACCGTAATTCTACCGTGCAAGGTAAATATTAAATCCTAGAAAGAAAAATCAGCAACAGCACATCACAACCAACCAAACCCTTTTTCTTATCCATCAGCATTCTCAAAATTGGTTATGTCTCTTCTTTTTAGGTTCAGTTTGGGAATAGTGTAAATACAAACATGTACAATGTAAAAACAATTGAGGGAATATTCTAATAAAGCTATTTCTCGTTTACTTTCTCATCTTTCAAACACTCTTCAATAATATATATATCTATATCTATACTACTTATAAAAGAGCGAATGTCCCTTTTTTTGTAATTTTTATTGGACATTTTCTATCCTTTATCTAGATAGCATATAACAGGCATAAAGAGGGTATATATGTCCTTTACTCTCACTCCAAAAACTGCCCACTTATAACTGTTCAAAAGCTGTCCATGAATTGAAAATAGTTTTGTCTTGAAGATACTGTCACGTGCATCATATTTACTAGTATGTGTGTGTGTGTATTATATATGTGTGTGTGGTGGGTAAGGGGGGGGCCTAGGACCAAACCTTAAATTTCTGGACCAGGCCAGGCTGAAAATGATCACCCCTGAATTCGAAATTCTACAGTGAAAGCTACATTTTAAATCCTTTATTTGCATTAATACAAATGCAAAGGAGTGGAAATGCAAATTTATTTGCACTAATACAAATGCAAAGGAGTGGAAATGTAAAAAATGCAAATTCTTGTTTAATTTTGTTTTGGACTTTTACTTTATTTTCTTAATTTACATTTGTACCGTAATCAAACAAAATAATCTAAAATTTAAAACAAAAATAGGTCAGAATTTACACTCAAATCATTTGCACTGCCATGGTTTTGCATCAGTGCAATTTTTTTTGCATTGCAACCAAACATAGCCTTGAAAGAAAAATCAACAAACAACAGACAAGGAGACACTAAAATAACAACTACAGCAACGGCACACCACAACCAACCAAACCCTTTTTCTTATCCATCGGTCTTCTCAAAATTGGTTACGTCTCTTTTTTTCCTTGCTTGTTAGCTTTCGAACTGTAAGGTCTGACTAGAAGTATATAAAATATCTATTGCGGTGCCAACTTCTCCCCTGCGATGAATCAAATACCTATCTATTCTTCAACAATGTTGAGGGAGTGCTCTAATAATCTATTTCTCGTTTCCTTTCTCATCCTTCAAACACTCTTCGTCTCTCCTTCATCAACCCACGCAGCTCCAACAAACTCCAATCTCTTCCGAGGATACATCGGAGCTCTGTTTAAGAGTGTCAGATTCTCTGATGTCCCCATTAATCCCAATGTCGATTTCCATTTCATCCTGTCCTTTGCCATTGACTACACCACTTCTTCTCCCTCCCCCACCAATGGAAACTTCAACATCTTTTGGGACTCTGAAAACCTCAGCCCCTCCCAAGTTGCTTCCATCAAGAGCAGCCACCCAAATGTTAAGGTAGCTTTGAGCCTAGGAGAGGATAGCGTCGGTGGTGAATATGCTTACTTCCAGCCTTCCTCAGTTGATTCTTGGGTTCAAAACTCTGTTTCTTCACTCACGAAGATCATTAAGGAGTATCACTTGGATGGTATCGATGTCGATTATGAGCACTTCAAATCTGATCCTGCTACCTTCACTGAGTGCATCGGACAACTTATAACGATCCTCAAAGGGAATGGAGTAATTTCATTCGCTTCTATAGCCCCCTTCGATAATGACCTGGTTCAGAGCCATTACCTAGCCCTTTGGAAGAGGTATGGGTAACTAATAGATTATGTCAACTTCCAATTTTATGCATATGAAAAGGGCACAACCGTATCCCAGTTTATACAGTACTTTGAGACGCAGAGCTCCAACTACAAAGGAGGTAAGGTCTTGACCAGCTTCATCAGCGATGGCAGCTCAGGCTTATCTCCAGATAACGGCTTCTTTACTGCATGCAGTAGTCTCAAGGATCGCCATGAACTTCACGGTATATTTGTGTGGTGTGCGGATAACTCCAAGGCAAATGGCTTCCGTTATGAGATGAAACCCCAAGAACTGCTGACAACTTGACGAGCTCTCGCTAGTCTTTTCGATCATCTCATGTCGTATATGCATCTTCCTCACCGCACGACATTAGATTTAGATCTGCACGAAGCCTTGCTGTGCCACTATAAATACAACTTATGCATGTGTTAATATTATAAGGGAACCTTTTTGTATGTACATTATGAGGAGGAATCCTGGTTTATATGATCATCACTTACCAGCCCCACCCAATTCCATGCTATTTAGCTCATTGTCGTCAGTGCTGTATTTGTATCTCTGAAGATCAGTCTAATGAACCGAAGTACCAATCTGCTGAAAAATATGCATCTAAAGTGGAAAAGCAGTTCATCAATGAAAGAATTCTGTCAATGAAGCATGATGAGCATAAGCAATTAGCTCATGGCACAGTATTGCGAGAGCTTTTATCTTATTATTTTTCAAAGAAAACACGAAAGTGAAAACAAAGAGTTAATTAGATGGTTTTTAATAGCATTAGTTGCTTCTATAGGTTCACTAGACCTGCAACAAGTGGCAGGACCTATTTTCTTCAGCCTTTGCACGACCATTGATGCTGCAAGTGAAAGGCTGAGAGCAATACCGTGACATCTTTCAAACACCATGACATCAAATCTGCCAATATAGTTGCCTAGATATATTAAAAACAGATATGAACAAATTGTCGTTTGTCAATAAGATAGGATAATGCCAATCAGAAATCATAATCTGAGTATACTACAATACTTGAAAAACTTTAAAGTCACATGCTTGGGGACCAAAAAAAATCAAAATTCCAGTATCCGGGGTTGCATGTTGGTGAACAATGTCTGCCAATAACCCAGGAAAACGGAAGTCTGCTTACTGAAGAACTCGCATTAAAATTTGATTATTGAGACAGAAGCTTCTGTTCTTCACAAGGACAGCATTCATTGCCTCAACTTGTGAAGGAAATTCCACAAGTGCCAATCTTACTGGATCTGGGAAAGCGGGCCTGCAGAAATTTTTTAAAACATTCACCCTATCAGATACTAGTAACAATTTGGCAATGTAGAATCTTGATGCATATTCGTTAATCTAACCTCACAAATGTCTGGATGCTGGAAGAATTGTAAACACAACCAGAGAGGACACGCTCAATGTCTTCTGGGAGTGCATTGCGAGGAACTCCTTGCATTAATACCTGTATCAACCAAATAGTAAACACCTCTAATTATGGAATATTGGGTGGCACTCCACAAATGCAACTAAATACCATAATTTCCCATTGCTAAAGAGAATTTTCGTATGTGATTACTAGCTATTACATTTTGCAAATTTGTTTCTCCTATCAATTACCAGTAATAAAAATACCAGATACAATTTTAGAATATAAATCCCAGAAAGAATACGTAGAAAGGAATAGCATGCTTCCCAATGTCATTATTACCACAGTAACATGTTTGACACACCTAGAGCTCAATTTTTGACCAAAGGTTCACGACCATCAATCATCAGAAATATTTGTAACTCCCTCACATGTTCACTTATGGGGTCAGGCATACTTCACTTCATACTCTTATTTTCTTCAACAGATAGATATGATGAGTTAGATGGACCACTACCTGATTTTAGATTAGGGCTACTACCTAGTGTTGGTCCCATTCATCCGGGGTCTTGGGAGGAATGGACTGGATATGGAGACCTAATCATTAGAATTATATGGCACAAAATGGCCACTCTCGAATTTACCATATTCTCATGCTTGTAAGCCAGAGATTTGCACCAAACAATTGCCCCAACCCCAATCTGATCTTAGACTCAAAGCCCAAAAATAAGTATAGACATATTTTTTACAACCCTCAACAAGAAAACTCTGTACTGAAAAAGTTGAAAACCATTTTACTCAGAATCAGGAGATAACAAAATTTATGGTGCTTCACTGAGAAGCAGATATGTCTACACTCCAACCCCCTTTCCCCCTTTTTCTTATCCAATCATTACCTTGATCAGATGCAGAAGTACTAATTGCTCCCTCTTTTACAAAGGGCCTTGATTTTGTTTGGACCATGATTATATTCTCTTATGTGAATGCATATGAATAATCTCTCCTTGGACCTGATATTTTCAAGTTTTTTCTCCTTGAGATTCTGTTAGGCCTATCAATAGGACAGATCAACCCAACATATGATCTGACCAACCTTGTTAATGTGAGATGTATTGACTTTGTCAATTTTAGTTGACCAGATAATAATTGAATTTGTTACCAGGTCTACTTTGATCCAGCCTGATAAGAATCTGAATCAACTAGACAGAGACAGACATATGTGAAATGTTGTGAGACCCAAAAGGCCAACTTGGTCACCTGTTTACCAGATCAACTTGATTCTGACAACACTGGATTTGTATGACAAAGATAACCCTCCCTCATTCTTTGATAAATAGGATTAGGGACCAGATTTCAAAATCTTTTTATGACTTCAAATTAAAGCGAATATAATCATATGGGCTGTTCTGAGACATCTAATAAAATTGAAATATGTTGAACAGGTTAGTTATACACTTTTATAGCAGAATTCTAGTTGGATGGATTGTTCAAAACCACATTTAAATATGTTATCCTTAAAATTTATCAATATATATATATATGTTATCCTGAAAACTGTGGATCTGATGCAGTACTTTTGGTTTTGGTTCTAGACACTGGACCCTGGATGATGTAACAGATCCATAGTGCTCAAGACACCTTATTCAAAGATCAGTTAACCAACCAGTATGGGGACATTACTCAATTTTAAATGAGACTTTATCTACTAAAGGAATACCAGGCCTATTACCCATACTAATGTGTAAATATAGGTTTATCAAATTGGTCTAGTTACAATGGGGTCTCATCAGACCAGACCCAATAAGTTCAATTGGTAAATGAATGGATTATGCTAGGAGTGCAATTTGGACCGGGTTAGCCCAAACCCAACCCAAAAATGTAGGGTCAGTTGAAGATCAGGTTAGAGTTAGGATGAAAAATAATGAACCTGACATACCTTTGGGGTGGGTCATTGATAGAGGCTTTGGGCAACCTGAAACCGACATGTCTTCATATTTGCATGTATATATGCATCCATGCACATATGCATGTATATGTATATGCATCAATAATTTTAAAGTTTAAATCAGTGCTTTAAAAGTGCAAGGTGCAAAAAGCTTTATGCACCCAAGGCAAAAGGCGCATGCCTTTTCGAAGCAAGGCATAAATTAAAAAACAAAAAATAAATCAAGAAAATGTTAAAAATAGTATTATTTAAAATGCAAGGTTTAACTTTAAATTAATTATTTTAAAAATCCTATTAGCTCAAATTCAAATACATAAGCTAACAAATAAAACATATTCAAAGTGAAAATGCAAAATAAAATCAAACATATATATATATATATATATACAAAGCACCTTATCATTAAGGCCCAAGAACTACGGTTATCATGTTTGAGGAAAAATTTGCCTTTAAACCTAAATTTTTTGCCTTTAAACTTAAATTTTTTATATACAATGTCCATACATACCTACATAAATGCATGCATGCATACAGACATACATAAAGATTTGCAGCAAAAATAAAATACATACATATATACATTTATGGGTGACAAAGTGCTCATGGAGGATCATTTCGCTTAATTGCCAAGCTAATTTTGTACATAGCACTATGAAATGCTTTTATATTCTTAATTTTTTTAGAATATAATAAATAAAATAGACATTCTTCTTCTTCCACCTTTTCTTTTCTTCATTTCCTAGGACAAAAATAGGCGCTCAACCCCTATTTTTCCTGAATTTCCTTTTCTTTCTTCTTTTTATTCTCATGAATATGTTGATTTTCTATATTTGAATATGAAGTTTATGTTTTTATGAAAATTATAGATAATTACTAATGCACGATGGTTGCTAGTTGATATGGAACGTAGGAACTACCCTAGGATTCATTTTTTTATTTAAAGAGCAGGACAGATATACGCAGCCTTACCCCTGCACATACAGAGGCTGTTCCCAAGATTTGAACCCTGGTCACCCAGGTCACAATGGAGCAATCCAACCATTATCCCTCCACATACACAGAGGATTCATTTTTTATTTAAAAAAATCATCTCACAGGCATCACGCCCACCTAACCTCACATTGGTGCCTTGAAAACTATGATTATTATGTATAATTAAAGTATGAAACTTCTATGACTCACTGATTTTTGTTGGAAAATGGGGTTTATATTCTTTTTGTTTTTCCTGTATATTCTTTCATGTGCACAAATCTTTTAGCATTGCTAAATACAAGGTTACTTCAGTTTTTTTTTTCTTTTTTTGGAAAAGCAAAGGAAATTTCATATAGGCTTTTAAGGCAACCATAATGTTGCAAAATGAACACAATACTATAATGCCTAATTAAATTGAAGCAACTCATATTGGTAACTGGATATGTAACGCACAGAAAATCTGAAAAATATAAAATAAAAATAAAAACACTAGTTAGTAGGTAACTGTTAAAACAATTAGTTCTTTATGTATTATGGGCCACAGGGGTACTGTGGTCTTTTTACCCTTTTTTGTGTTGCCCTATTAAATAAGAAAAAGCTGGCACCGCCAGCACAACTTTTGCCTCTCCATTTTTTGTTTCTCTTCTTTTCTCCTCTCTCTTCTCTCTCTTCCTGTCTCTGCTTCTTCCCTTCTGTTCTTCTTTCTCTACCCAGAAAACATGGTATCAGAGCGGGTTCTGTGGGCCTGAAGACAGATTGAACCCTGTTTCTCTTCCTCCTCTGCTGTTTTTTCTAGATCGATCAAAGGAAAATCAGACGAAACTGATCTGAGAGGTGTTTTTACCTTTTTTTTATTTTCTTCTTGGCAGTGTGCCAAGACAGAGCTGTTTGCTCGTGGTGACAGAATGCTGTGAAGATTTTGGGTGGTGTTTTACACCTGTAAGGATCGTGTGATCCTTCCTGTACCCATATGGGCGATGTTTACTGGTCAAGAATGATTGGTGGTGACTGCAACAAAGAGGTAAGTCCAGTTTGGTGGTTATGGTCATTGTGTGACCTTTCTTGAATGAATAATTGTGACTGAAGGACCTTCTCCTTTGTACTGTGACGTTTTCTTTTTGGGGATAACCTAGCACTGTGGTTGCACTCTTTTCTGGTGTTGGATTGTTGTCAGATGTGTGAATTTTTTTTCTGGTAAAGTTTGTCTCAGTGCTGTCCGATACCAGAACCTACTTTTGTGCGTTTGAGACATCTAGTCTGTAGTTGGAAGTGCTTTTCAGTTGTCCTTTTTTTCCATGAGCTCTGAAGATACAGCCACCTCGGTATGTCTTCCAGCTATAGTGAACTAGGTGGAAGTATTGACATGACCTTCCACATGGCTGCTGTTCCATTAGATGGCCTCAATTATTTGGAGTGGCCAAGAGGGATTAAGCTTTACATTACAGCAAGGGGAAAACTTGGGTACACCAATGGGAAAATTAAAGAACCAAGGTCTGGGAGTGCTGAACACAACAACTGGATCCAAGAGAATAGTATGGTAATGTTGTGGTTACTTGTATCAATGCTCCCACAAGTAAGGAGAAATTTTATGTGGGTTGAGACTGCTGCTGCAATTTTGGAACAAGCAAAAACAACCTATTCAGAATAGAGACACTATGTGAAAATATATCAACTGCAAGCTGCGTCTACTACATGTAAGCAAGGGGAAAGAAGTCTTTCCATATATTACTCAGACCTGACTACAATTTGGAAGGTGCTGGATCACTACCAGAATGTGAATTGGAAATGTGAAGATGATGCCAAAGCCTATAAGACTCTAGTCTCCCAACAGAGGGTATTTGCCTTTCTACTGGGACTGAACCCTATGTATGAATCTATTAGGGTTCAAATCCTTGGAAGTAAAGACCTCCCTTCAGTCCAAGAAATTTATGATTTAGTGCAGTCAGAAGAAAGTAGAAGAAATGTGGCGAATACTTCTGAGGGAGGGGGGCCAGTTGCTTTGATAGCTAGGGGTGGTACTAATGTGAATGGCGGCAACCTTTTTAAGAAGGGTGATTCCAAAAAAGGGGTGGAAGATAAGGACAAATTGTGGTGTACTCACTGTCAGCGACCTAGGCACACTAGAGAGACCTGTTGGAGTCTTCATGGGAAGCTGAAGTGGGCTCTGGAGTTGAGCAAAAAATCAACTGATCAAAATAAGAAGCCAATAAAGCAAAGCCAAAAGAAGTACAATTCAGCAAATGTGGCAACTCAAGAGACTTCATCCCCCACTGTACCTCATGATCGCCCTACTGGTTTTGATCTGAAGGAAGAGATTATCAATTCCTTCTATGATCATTTGGAATTGTATGGTAGGACACTTCGTCATATGGACTCAAGTCTTACACCATCTACCTCTTTTGCATCTACATCAGGTAACTCTGCTACTGCCTTCCATGTGTCATCTCACTCATCTGAGTCTCCTTGGATCATTGACTCTGGAGCCTCAAATCACATGACAGGTAAGTCCAAATTGTTTCAGGCATATAACCTCCTCTCTGGGAGAGACAAGGTGAGACTAGATGATGGGTCCCTCTCTTCCATTGCTGGTCAAGGAACCATCTCTCTGCCTTTTGGCCCCATTCTCTCTAATGTGTTACATGTTCCTAAGTTACTTATCAATTTACTTTCTATTAGCAATATTACTCATTCCTTAAATTGCTCAATAACCTTTTTCCCTTCTTATTATGTCTTTCAGGATTTGACCTCCGAGAGGATGATTGGTAGAGGTAATATGGTGGATGGTCTCTACATGTTGGAGAATAAATCTGGTCTTATTGCTTCAGAGTCTATGAGTCATTCTAGTAAAAGTCAGGCCTATTTATGGCATAGCCGTCTTGGTCATTTGTCTTTTGACTCTTTGAATATTGTGTTTCCAGAGTTATTTAGGTCTTTGTCAGTAAATGAGTTGCAGTGTCAAACGTGTCAGTTGAGTAAACATTGTAGAAACTCTTTTCCAGTGAGAAATAAAAGATCTAATTTTCCTTTTCATATCATCTACTCTAATGTTTGGGGCCCTGTTACACTACCTTCTGAGACGGGATATAAATATTTTATCACATTGATTGATGACTATTTTCAATACACTTGGGTTTATCCAATGCGATCCAGAGATGAGGTACCATAGATTGTGCAAAATTTTTAGCGCATGGTATTTACCCAATTTCAGACTAAGATCCACATCTTTCAATCTGACAATGCAAAATAATATTTCCATAGTGATCTTACATAGTTTTCTACCTCATGCAGTTCTCTTCATCGCAGCTCTTGTGCTAAAACACCTCAACAAAACGGTGTTGTTGAACGAAAGAACCGGCATCTTCTTGAAGTTGCTCGTGGGTTGCTATTGCACATGAATCTTCCTAAATGTTTCTGGATGGAAGCCGTTGCATCTGCTGCATATATTATCAACCGTATGCCATCTCGGGTGTTAGGCTACAAGGCTCCACATCAATTGTTGTTTCCCAAGGAACCTTAGTTCTCCATTCCTATGTATGTTTTTGGTTGTCGATGCTTTGTCCATAATTTATCTCCTACTCGTGGTAAACTTGACCCCTGTGCTATCCCATGTGTCTTCTTGGATTATCCTTCCTCTCAGAAGGGCTATCGGTGCTTTGATCCGGTTTCTCATAAGTATTATGTTTCCATGGATGTCTCCTTTTTTGAGAATGTTCTTTTTTTTCTTGTTTCTCCTCAAGGGAGAGTAGGGTGGAGGAGAAACGTGCTCAAGCACAAGTTCAGCTCCCTCCTCTTCTTGATCCTCCTCCATTTCGTGTCTTCTTCCATCGTCATAAGGGTCAGCAAAGTTCAACAACTGCAGAACAACCTGAAGCTATGCCACCAATACCATTAGACTCTCCAGAGGCAAATCTTCCTCACCTAGGTATTCTTGTTCCTATTGATGTTGATGATTCTGCTATTAATAATTTGGATGTTCCTATTGCTAAGAGAAAGGGTGTTAGATCTTGTACTACTAAGAATCCTATCTCCCATTTTGTTTCCTATGATCATGTTTCACCCTCCTTTCGTGCTTTTCTTACCTCCATTGACAGTGTCTCTATCCCTAGGAATGTGGCAAAAGCCTTATCTATACCTGAATGGACAGATGCGATGAAGGAAGAAATTGATGCCTTACATAAAAATGGCACTTGGGAGTTGGTTGATCTTCCTAGAGGAAAAGAACCAATGGGGTGTAAGTGGGTGTTCACAGTTAAACATAGGGTTGATGGTACAGTGGAAAGGTACAAGGTGAGATTGGTAGCAAAAGGGTTTACTCAAGTGTACGGTGTGGACTATGCAGAGACTTTTGCGCTTGTTGCCAAGATGAATTCCATTAGAGTCCTCCTATCTTTAGCGGCTAATTTTGATTGGGATCTTCATCAACTAGACATTAAAAATGCTTTCTTGAATGATGATTTAGAAGAAGTGTACATGATTCAGCCCCCAGGATTTTGTGCAAAAGGTAGTGAGCATAAGGTATGCAGGTTGAAAAAATCTTTGTATGGGCTAAAGCAATCACTATGGGCCTAGTTTAGCAAGTTTCACTTAATTGTTCAACAGATGGGATTTAAACAGTGTCAGTCAAACCACACATTGTTTGTGAAGAAAGGTGAAGGAAAAATTGCAGCCCTAATTGTGTATGTTGATGACATAGTAGTCACCGGTGACTGGACAATAGAAATACAGAAATTGAAAGAGTTATTGGCCACACAATTTGAGGTGAAAGATCTAGGTCCCTTGCGCTATTTCCTTGGAATTGAAGTTGCTCGCTCCAAAAGGGGGATATTCATCTCTCAAAGGAAATATGTTCTTGATCTATTGGAGGACACTGGGAAGTTGGGGGTGAAGCCAATTGATTCACCTATTGACCAAAATCACAGGTTGGGTGACAGTCAGGGAGAACCTATAAAAGATGTGAAGCAATTCTAAAGACTTGTTGGCAGGCTTTTATATTTGTCTATGACCAGACCAGACATTGCTTATGATGTGAGTGTTCTTAGTCAATTTATGCATAATCCCAAGACTACACATCTTGAGGCTGCTGAGAGGATTCTTAGAGACTAAAAAAGTTCCCAAGAGCTGGTTTGTTGTTCCAAAAACATGTGCATTTAAAAGTTGAAGTGTACACAGATGCTGACTGGACAGGGGAAGTAGATGACAGGAAGTCTACAAGTGGATATTGCACTTTTGTAGGAGGAAACTTAGTCACATGGCGAAGCAAAAAACAAAATGTGGTAGCTAAATCCAGTGCGGAAGCGGAGAATAGAGCTATGTTCCATGGAGTTGCTGAGGTTATGTGGATAAAAAACCTATTAGGTGAACTAGGATTTACAGTTGATAATCCCATGTCACTCTATTGTGACAATAAGGCTACTATCAACATTGCAGCCAACCCTGTTCTCCATGATAGAACTAAACATATTGAGGTTAACAAGCATTTCATCAGGGAGAAAATCATAAGTGGAGAAGTGTGTACTCCTTATGTTAACCCTGAAGAACAACTTGCAGATATCTTCACAAAGAGCCTTCATCATCTGCGGCACAATAACTTGTGTGTCAAATTGGGCATGATTGACATCTATGTCCCAAGTTCAGGGGGAGTGTTAAAACAATTAGTTCTTTATGTATTATGGGCCGCAAGGGTACTGTGGTCTTTTTACCCTTTTTTGTGTTGCCCTATTATATAAGAAAAAGCTGGCGCCGCCAACATAACTTTTGCCTCTCCATTTTTTGTTTCTCTCTTCTTCTTTTCTCTTCTCTCTTCCTGTCTCTACTTCTTCCCTTCTGTTCTTCTTTCTCTACCCAGAAAACAGTACCAAATAAATGTCTTTGCAATCCCATAGTGTCAACTTTTCCATATAGAAATATAGGTATTTCTAGATAAGTCTATTGTAACTATATATTGTCTAGCTATTGGCTCTGATAGTTTACAACATTAAGTTCTCAGAAGAGCAACTTAAGTGCTTATTGATAAAAAAAAAGAGCAACTCAAGTGCTCCAAAAATCTGTAATGTTTCAATTGTCAAACTTTAAACTCTATATGGTTTGGATCATCTACTTACAACTTTTCCATCGTATGATTTTGCAACATCCCATTGACTACGATCTGCCTGATATCCAAGAGATTAGGTAATTAGCCCATATCTAACTTCTGAAAAATAACAGGACAACATTATTAATCAAATTTCAAAGCTAAAAGTGGCATACCCTCTCCAACTTGTACAAGCGGCCATTTCTGTTCATCAACCTAATAGCAGAATCAAAAGCAATGCGAGAAGGGAATTGCAATATCCTGCACGCAACAATAAAAAAAAATGGATGGGTTCTCACTTCTCAGTATCTCCAAGATGTGCTATCAATTTACCCATAATAGAAATTAAAAGAATTAATGCTGAATTGAAGGCAGAATGGAATGACATCATTTCACTTTGATTTCCGTATCGTCACCAGAAATGTTAACTAAAAACTGATTCCTTGAGTTCCTAAAATAAGCACATTTTCATTTTATATATTATCAATATTCCATGTTATTATATATTAGAATAAGCCATTGGTACTCCAGTTGAAATAATGACCTTAGGCCTTAAATTTGTTATGAAAACGAAATCGAAATGAATTACATGTTCTGAAACATTTCATGAAGGCACACGGGAAATTTTACAAACTTGTAGGACAGCATATTGTTCATGAAAAAAAGAGAAGTTTCTTTGACCAATTGATCATTGTATTATTTAATCGAGAAGGATTCTGGAAATGGAAACCGTTCATTTCCATTCCTAAGCTGCAAGAAACACTAACAATATTACAATAATGAGATTTATTTTTATTATATTATCAAAAAGCTCAATTATATATTACAAAAAAAATTAATAAAAAATCCAGAATGGAAAAATAAAAAGAGATGACAGCGTGCAAGAACAATACATGCCAACTGAAGTAAAAGCACGGTTGTATTCGACTTTCACATCCTGCGGAGTCAAATTACACCCTTCCAGGAAATTGATAATATCAGTCTTCAATGTGTTTCTTCCAAAACCAATCAGCCTTCCATAGGCCAAACCTGAATCCAAGAACAAATCGGAAAACAAATGTATTTCATCAGTCTAAGCCAATTGAAACTAGCAACAATAACTATGGTGCGCATAACTAAGCAGATGATGGGTGAACGGCTGGGCGGGAATGAACATATCCCATAAGTCAAACACTTCAATACTAAAACCATGATTTCAAACAACTATCGTCGAGTTACAAACTCGTTAGGTTTTCTAATGCTAACAAACAAGTGTTTCGAGGAATCAAAACTACATCAAACCTTAAACCCTAAACCCTAACCCTGGGTGTTGGGCTCATAATACCTGTGCTAGGTGGCCGAAGAAAGGGGTCGAGAGACGAATCTTTCTGCTCTGCATCAGTCGCGAAATGCCTCGTTGCTTCTCTCTGAAACAGCGGAAGAAAGCTTTGGTTCGATCTAGTACTGCGCAGTAAGCCGTTCAATCTGCCCAGGTTTCCAATAAGATTCAACTTCGACATTCTGTGAGAAATGACAACGAATGAAAGAAATTTTAAACAATGGGAGATGCACGGAATTCCAACTTCCAGGTGACAAAAATACTCCGCCGGGCTTCGCTTAGTGCAATGGAAGATGCAGAACTGGACTGTTATGTTGGGGCCGGCGCCCAAACTGACCCTAGAACTAGAAACCATGCATCAGGCTTCAGCCTTAAGCCCATGATACGTTGCACACCCATGAAAAAAAGTCCATTGGACTCGACCATGGAATCAAAGCCGGCCCATGGGCTGATAGATTCTATACATGGCCTCACTAAAATGGAGTTCGGATTAGCTGAACGCTTTGGCTGTGTATTTCGTGGCCTATCGATAGTGTTCATGGGCCGACAAGGACTGGGTTTTAAGGGGATACCTGGGCCTGGCCCGTTCCATCAAGCCTGAAATGTAAGGTGGGATGGGCTTTCAGCCTACAATCTGAATATACATGTTATGTATATTTAGATTTTAGACTTGGCAAAAAGTCAATCCAACCCAAAAAGTACGGATTTGTCCAATGCAGATTTTTGATTTCCACTGCAAAGCTATAAACATTCAAAAGATCAACAATTCACACTTTATGCATCAACGTTCGCCTGTGAATTGACATCAATTCCAAACTGACACTACCCCAACAGTACTTTAAGCCTATAAATTCTGATCATGGGCTGATCGGTCATTACCAAGTACAAACCTGACATTTTGGGTCGGGTCAGATTGGGTCGCAGGTCACCAATGGGTCACCTCCTACCATTTTTTTTTTAAACTGGCATTGACCCAAACAATTGAATTGTTCGAACCAGATGGTTAAACCTAGATTGTTGGTAAATAAACTGTTCATTTGGTCAAATACCAGCTGCCCCAGGTGATTGAACCATTGACATGTCTGACCCAAAGTCAATCCTATGAATATTTAGGGTTAGAGTGAATTTGATCCAAAAAAAGAAAAAAAAAATAGTTCACTAATTTTCTTACGTCCAAGCATAAAATTGATGCTTACAAGTAGGAAATCAAGAAAGATAAATAAAGAAATTAAGTCATTAACTATATTTGCACTTGCAAAAGACGAAGCCTATGTAGACCCATGAAGAGAGAAGAGAGATCTACAAGATTAAAACTAGCTTTAGGCTATGTTTGGTTTGACTGAAAATAAGATAGTAACAGAAAGTTGAGGGAAAATTCTTAAGAATTTGTACCTCAGCTTTCTGTTTCTCGGTATTTTCTGTTAAACCACATATAGTCTAATAATGAATGCCTCTAACCATCAAATAAATGGACCCATTCCGAGAAAATGGCTAGCATCCAAGACTTGTCCTCCATTAAAAGCTAACTGAATTCAATCTTGTAGTGAAGGTTCAAAGTATTGATACGACACAACCCAATTTAGGTGTATCATATCGTATTGGCAAGGTTCTGTAGGGGTGAGTAAAAAACCGAAAAATCAAATCTACTGAAAAAATCGATCGAAACCGAACCGAAAAATTGGTTAATTGAACTGGTCGGTTTGGTTTTGGTTTGATATTCTTAAAAAACTGATAGTTTTGATTCAGCTTCGATTAACCATTTAAAAAAAATGGCGGTTAATAGAATCGGCCGATATATATACAATAATATATATTATATTTTTTTATTTTTTTAAAATCGAATAAAAAAGCTCGGCAATCTCTCAATCTCTTCAAAACCTTTCAGCCTTTCTCTGTTTGTCTCTTCAAAACCTAAACCTAATACCATTTCACCCTTTCTTTGTTTGTCTCTTCCAAACCTAAGCCTAATACCCCTTTAGCCTTTCTCTCTTTCTCACTCTCTCAGTCTCTCTTCGAGTCTTCGCATTCCCCCAAGTGGCCAATTTGGCAACCAGTGTCGCAATTCCCCTTGCTTTCCTTCGGTGCCAATCGTCCTTCGACCAATGGCCTCTCTGGCTCTCCCCCAGTGTCTCTGCCTCTATCTCTGTCTCTCTCTTGTCTGTGAGTGAGTGAATCTGTGTCTCTATCTCTCTCTTCTCTCCTGTCATCTCCGTCGTGCGGCCCATGCCAACCACCAGCACCAAGCGGCAACATCGATCGCCGCCTCGCCAACAAGTAAGCACCAATGCCATGTCTCTGTCTCTTTCTTCTCTCTCTCTCTCTCTCTCTCATCTTTCCTCTGCAGCTCCGCCAGACGCCACCTCTCAAGCTCTCATGCCTGACAACCAACAGCAACCACCGACACCAACCAGTCCGACACCGGAAAATTGCCACCTCTTTCAGGTATTTTTTTATTTTAAGTGCATAAAAATTTTGAAAAACCAAACCATGGTTAACCGATTGCATCAGTTCGGTTTCGGTTCGAATATCTAAAAAACCATTCAGGTTAGTTCGATTTGAAAAAACACCCCACGGTTCGATTAACCAAACAGTGAGCCCCCTAGATACACCAATTAAAAGATGTTTTTAGAAACACATTTTATTTTATTTATTAAATAAAATATTAATAATATTTATTTTATTTAATATTATTAAATAAATCTTATTTATTTATAAAAATGAAATTTTGGAAAAAGATAAAAAAAAATTAAAAAGCACATTGTTTAAAGCACAAATACACCTCTATGGCTCTACCTATGTATCCATACTTTGAACCTTGTTTGTAGTTAATCAATTGATTTTATGCCATCATGGGTGGTACATAGGACAGGAGTGTTCTTTCTATTGGTAATAAAAGAAATCTCTCTCTCTCTTTCAGTAGGTTCTCTGCACCTCAAAATTGAACAAACTATTATCCCAAATTTCCAATCAACTGGCCTTGTTTCATATCAAAAAAGAAAGTATATACTGTCCCAAACCAATAGTATTATTAAGGTCTGATAGGTTTTAATTTACATCAAATGTACAGAAACAGAATGTATCTTTTCCTTTCCCTTTAGCTTGGTTGATTCAGGCTATCTATTGGACTTGGATACAGACCCTAGAAAGTAAAAATGAGTTCAATTCCCTGTGTCAATGTCAGCTTTATACCCCACCTACCCTGTATTGGGCTTTTCTCCAAATGATATTAACCACCCAAAGTTCCAATAACTGATGATTTATTTATTTAATTAATATTTCCTTCCCAGCAAACCCAAATTAATCCAACTTGAGGCCGATTGATCATACAAAAACAACTTTTTTATGGGAAAAGGAATTGTTTCCCAACCCAACCCATTTTAAATTTGAAGTAAGTTAGGGATTGAGAGTGTCAGTGGCCAACCCAAACACGAAAAATAATAAGTCTTTTTGGTCGGCTAAGTCAAGAATTGTGCGCCCTAGTCTTTATGGGAAATTTGCCCACTGCGCTGCTGTGCTGTACAACTTCATCATCTGTATCAAACATTCCATCAGGCTACCTTTTTATTAATTTTCAGTCACCATTAACGACTTTTTGCAGCTGCAGTAGCTTTTCCAATCACCTCCCAATTCATGAACAAATAAACAATATTTTTCTTCTGTTTCGTTTCTTGATTTCTTCTCTCCATCCAATCAGATCAATTTTAATTTCAAAGTGGAATTCTTTGATGTTTTATGCTGTATTTGAGAAACCATGTATACAGATATATTGCGTGTCAAGTATGCCTTAATGTTTTTTTTTTTTTTTAAGGGTTAGGCGTGCTAGCAAGAGGGTCTACACTTTTCTCCAACAAATCTCATTCTGATTCAACACATGATTTTCAAGGTTGCACCAATATATAGCCATCGCCTGCTTTAAGTTTCCAACAGAAACATGAAGAAGATAGCTTCTCATTATCATCTTTCTCTGTCAATACTTTTTCAACTTCCCACCATATATTGAGAGAGATTATCCACAACTCGACAACCTTTTTAATGGAAATGACCACTAGATTGGAACGATATCAACATACATTGCATGCTTGTACAGGAGTCAGAACTCTATCACCCAGTTAGATCCATGGAGAGCAATTTCAACCCAAACCCCAAATGGGTTTCATTTTCATCCTCCTTGGGACTAGAAAAATCATAATCTTCTAATTAAAAGAATGAGAAAGAATTCTAGCTTGTTGCTGTGGGAGTTGAAAATAATTAAGCAGATCTGCATAGGAGATTCTTGAGTAGGTCAACTTAGTTTTCTGATTACTGTAAAACTCATGAGCAAGGAAAACAAATCGGTTAAGAACTGAAACATCTCGACAAGCATGGAAAAAGGAAGTGAAAGCGATTCTGGTGATGGTAACAACGATGAAATGATAGTTGCCTAAACCATGAAATAGGATTAGTATGTATAGCCACAAAAAAGATTATGGAGATAAGATTCTAGGAGTGTAATACAAGCTTCATGTTGTTAAGAGAAGTGGTAGAACAGTGCAGCTTTGATGGTGAGGTGATGTCCAGTCCACACCATCTAGAAAATCATCACTAGCTAGCTTACCTTGATGAACCCAAATTTGAGTTCTCTTGTGAATCAGAAAGGACCACGTAGCAGCTAAGTAGTAGAAATGTAGAATGAGTGAATGACCTATCATGTCAGCAGAAATTGAACTACCACTACTGAACTGAACTGAACAAAGACTCACTCTTTCTGCTACATGTGTAGGTATTTCATCAGGCTTTAGTTTGCCCCATGTGAACTACCAAGAGGGGTAGGTTGAGTACTTGAGTTGGAGATATCTGTGAAATAACTTTTCTCTTTCCCATCACTTGGCGGAGGTGTAATCCAAAGCCACTTGATTGAAAAAACAAAAAAAAAAACTACCTACTCTTTTACAACTATGGAGAAAAGTAGACAATAGCAAAGTCACTGAACACACAGAGCTCTGGGTGCCCACATCACCTTGAGCTCTTATCCTTCTCAACAATTTCTTGTTTCAAACCAGAAAAATCGACCTGATGATAGGATTAGGGATACATAAAATTAAGTACACCTGTAGTCTTAATTAGAATCAAATTAATATGGCTCTCAAGTATCAACATATATCTGGATATCGGAAAATGTAAATAATATATTGGGTCCCAAGAGAACAGTGTTTTCAAAACTGGACGGGACTGGATGGTTGAACTGGAAAAACCATGAACCGGTTATCTGACCGATTCTATTTCACCCCAAAACCGTTTTTTGGTTAAAAGCCATTAATTTGGTTAGTAAACCATTGACCCAGGTGGTCGA